CCAAAAGATGGTCGCCACATTCATATAAACAGCCGGCCATAAAGACCGGCAAAATATTCATAAACCCCGGCCCCTTGGCCGGGTAAAGTGATACAAGAACAAACGGCACGCAGGCCGGAGAAAAGTTTGAAGAAATAAGCTCTAAGCATTGTGAGGGGCTTCGGTGTTAGCTGCCGCCTGATCGAGCTTAACGAAGGGCGCTTGATTCTTCGAAGCATCCTCCTTTGTTGTCTCATCTTCAGGGGCTGGAGCTTTAGATGCATCCACCTCAATTGGTTGTAGCGCCACCACATCTTCCTCCTCTTCTGAGCTGGAGCTGGCCGCTTCATCTTCCTTCTCGACATCAGCAGCCGCCTGCTCCATGATCCTTCGATTGTACTCTTTAGTACAACATTGAACTTCTTATCCCAGGCGGCATAGCTGGCTTTTGGGAAGAGGGTTGTCCAGGTCATCTTCATGATCTGAGCCGAGTCATCCATCGTGGCCTGAACTAGAGCTAGCTTCTCAGTCTTGGCCTTCGCCTTAAGATCTTGGGTGATGGCCGCCTCCTGCTTCACCAAGCGGTCCTTGGCACCCTCCAAGGATTTCTTAAGGGATTCATTTAGGTGCGCTATGTGCTTAAGTGGCTTCAGCTCCTCTCGGAGACCTTTGATAGTCGCCTCCAGCTCATTGTTCTTCTTTTTGGCCGCCTTCAACTTGGTGCAGACAGTCGAAGTGGCCTGCACTTGGTAATAAAGAATATTAGTTGTCAAAATTTAATTTTGGGCAATTTGAAACATTGCCTTATCAACGTCAGAGGCGGCCATAGCTTTAGCAGCCTTTACCTCTTTGTTCTTGGCGCTGATCGGCCTACGAAGGCCGTGTACTCGTAGCAGAGTCTAAGAAAGGGAAAACAGGCGTCGGATTTGGAAAACGTAGGCGACAGGGAAAATCAAACATCTTAAAAATACTCCAAGTCTACCTCGGAAAGGAGACCCATGATATCGTCTAGGTCAAGGGTGCCGACTCCCTTGACCGCGTCCCTCTCCTGTTGAGGGACGTCCTTAATCATAGACTTGGCCATTTGGACCAAGTCTGGTTCTTGAGGGCCGCCTGCATCAAGAAAATAGAAACATCAAAACATGAAGAAAGCGATGAAGAAATAAGTCAAGTCAAGCAGAGCTGTTTATACTTCTTGGCGGCCGACTGTCCCTAAGGACTTGTAATGGTTTACCCACACTTTGTGGGTTGATTGGCGGTTTGTCAGCCGACGGCTTCCTGGTAGATCCAAGCGTACTCCCATCAGTTGTCTTCCGAACTTTAGAGTCCGGCTGTTGGGAGGAAGAGGGTTTGGAAGTGCCCGCCTGCGAAAAAGATGAATGGTCAATACTATTAAAAGCAAGTTTTCAAGACAAGTTTGAAGGCTTGGAACTCACTATGGGCGTCTCCTTGGCAGGAAAGTCAGAAGAAGTCCACTTTTGGTGCATGATGGAGGACCGCAGCAAGGCGGCTGCCTTCTTTAACGCAGAAATATGGTCCATAACTTCAGCTGAAAATAAAACTGCAAAGAGTTAGAAAAAATTCGAAAGCAAAGCCAAAGATGTGTACACATGCTCAAGAGGTCGGCCACCTCTGGAGGACCGACTGCTGAGGCCACAGGCGGCTAGAAAATACTCGTCATAGAGCCATTAAAACTTTGGGACGCAATTTAGGGGCACTTGCTCTCGTACCCCAGTAGTAGAGTTTGCCCTAATCCCCACTTTGAAGAGTCCTCGGTCAAGGATCTCTTCCCTAGCCTTGCAGGGGACAAGCGGCATGCTGTGACTGCCTGCTAGAAGAGGCGGATCCTTGTTCCACCTGTTGTAGCGCTTGTTCAGCAGCTTGTCAGGGCTGGCAATGATGAGGAAGGTGTTTCTCCAATCCTTCAATTTATTTTCTTTGCCCCTCGTCATTAGATAGCCTTTGTGGCTCGTTATTTGGTACCAGCCGGTACCGCTTGCTTTGGGGGTCCGGCTAAGATAGTTCATATGGATGAACGCCTCAAAATTCGGCTCCACCCCATAGCCAAGGATGTTGAACCAGGAATTCGGGGCTAACTGCCATAGCCCCACCTCGTATCCATCGAGGATTTGTTGAACGACCGGATGCAAAGGAAGTCGAAGCCCAGCCTCAATGGTCACCTCGTAGCAGCCAAAACAGGCGTCACCGTAGTTTGTTCCCGCGGGTCAGACGACTGTATCAGCTGAATGTATCCTCAGTATCCTCAGCATCCGGCACAAATACTTTAAAATCAAGACCCATCACATGGTCCGATAGAAAAGAGTCTATTCGTTCCTTCATGGCCTTGATTCGGCCCTTTGGAACGTGACAGTAGTAAGGGGTATTTTGCTCCCTATGGGAGGTAAATGGTTCTGCCTAGTCGTCCCCCTTATCAGCTGCATGAGAAAGTCTCGCCTCATGCAAGCGAGAATGCCTTTCCTCTGAGTGTATAGAGAGGCGGCTTAAAGAGCTAGAGTCAGACTCACTATCAAAAGAGTCCGACTCCTCCCCTCTCCCTGAGGGGACCGACCCCTCTTCTTCTTCAGGTGTCGTCTGCTGACTGCCCAGGTCAACAGTGAAGTGGGAAGGGGCTACCTTAGCTCCCTCCTCAGAGCTCTCGGTAGAAGGGCCACCTTGGGTCCCTGCGGTATCAGGCGGCTGGTCCGACAGCTCGCTAATCTGAACCCGTAAAGAAGAGCCATTAGAGTTTTCAATCCTCTTTGCCTGTTTTTTTTCTTCCCATACTGTCCTGCATAGATACAAAGACAGTTGGATTCCGGGACTTGCTCAAATTTTGAAGTACCGCAGGGCAGTCGGCACCCCTTGTCCTAGACTCAGCCGTCCCGGGTGACCGGCTGATTGCTAACCTAGGTCGTGCCGGATGCTTTTGAGGCCTCGTTTTCAAAAAGAAAGAAAAAGTGCAAAAGCAAAGCAAAAAGGATAAAAGAACAGACGGTTAGCTGAAACTTAAGTTCTAAAAGAAAGCTTGATCGAACAGGCGTCCACTAAAAACAGGCGGTTGGTAAAAGCAGTCGTCCAGAAAGTCAGAGCTCAAGTTCAGGGGTCCGAGAGTTCTCTTGAAAAAGTTCGCAAATGTGAACAAAAGACTTGGTCAACATGCCCTTATATAGGGCAAAAGGAGAATGCGAAGGGTCGCTTCCAAATTCAAAAAATGAGCGCGAAAAACGCTCGGCCCGTTATCGGGCGACATCTATAGCATGCCGTCGCCTGTTACAGGCCAACACCTGTCACAGGTGACATGTGACCAGTCACGTGCCACCTGTGAGGGGCAAATGATTAGGGGATTTTCCTCGCCTTGCCAGAATGCGCCATGTGGACCAATCAGGTCTTGCCAAGTGTCCTTCATTTGGACCTCTTAGGGCCTGCCACGTGTCGCACAACTATTTGTCCACCATGGACCAATCGAGCCATGCCAAGTGGCCTATTGATCGCTAGCTTGGAAGGAGGCCACCAAGACCCACTTCCCAAGAGAAGCCCAGTCAGCTCTAGGGTTTACCAAAAACCCTAGAATTAGGCACGCTTCCTAAGACTATAAATATACTAATTAATCCTCATTAAAGGAGGTTAAGCAATTAATTACACTCACCTAGAGAATAAAAACACACTGATCACTCCTCACCATGAGGAACCAGATCCCCCAACCTTACTTTTCCGCGCTATTCACTCCTCAAACAAGTACTAACTTGATCGTCGGAGGCGGAGCTCCCACCACCCGGAGTCTCCGTTTTTTGGCAGGTACAGGCACAAGGATACCAGTCCCGGAATTGTAACTCTCTTGCAGGACATCAGAAAACCCTTAAACATTTTAGAGCCGTATGTGGGGAGAGTGCTTTTGAGATGGAATCACAGTCTGTACCGATTCTAAGTGAGAAGCGTCCCATGGACGACCCCTTGGTTCAGACAAACCTTGATACTGACAATGAAATTGAAGTCGAGACTCATACGGCCTCTAACGGGACATCAAGAGCACGACGCACCCGTCCCACTAAAAGGAGGGAACAGGAGGATTGCCCGGCTGGATCTAGTAAACCAGCCGGCCAGCCGCTTGATCATTAACAAGCAACCGAGGGATCTGCCCCCATCACCAGAAACGAACTCATGACCTTCATGAATAGTTTCAAGGGGAAGATCTAGGAGCTTATCAACAAAAAGGCCACTGTCCCACCAAAGGAACAGTCGGCCAGAAGACCCTCCCATTCTGGGAGGAAGAAGCATGTAAAGGATCGGGAGGCGACTCCTTACCCTAGGACTAGGGAGAGAGAGCCGCCAGTTATCGATCTAACTAAGTATCGCTTCCCCTCACCAGGGAGAGGAAGCCCATCCGTTATGTTCAGCCGGACGGGTCAAAGAAAACATACTCCGATGCTCGAATGTTACTTGAGCAGAAGAAGAATGAGCGACTGTCGGAGTCGGCCTTTACGTCTGATTTTTAAGAAAGTCTACATAATACCTCCCTAAGGTATTCAAAATCAATTATGAGAGCCAGACAACCGGAGCCTCCTCTCGTTCTGGTTCCCAGAAACATCGTGCGGCCCCGTATGTGCCTCCTCAGCCATACGTTCCGCAGTCCCAATATTTCATGCAGCCTACTCTTTTTAGAGGATAAGCGGAAAGGAATGTCCAGCCTTTGGATTGGCAACTTAGGTTGCTCAAACTTGGAGAACAGCCCTCCGCCTTCTCTAAGGAAATAATAGAGGCTGCCCAGCTGGCCAAAGTAAAAAATGTGTTGGTAGGGGCATATGATGGCACTACCAACCCTGAAGACCATTTCATGCCGTACAACAACCTTATGTACCTCAAAGGGTTGGATGACGCTACATGGTGCAAGTGTTTCCCGGCCAGATTGAAGGGTATCGCCCAGCAACGGTTCGACAACTTGCTGACCGGGTGTATTAACAATTTCAAGACCCTCGCCTACTTGTTCACAACAAATTTTGCAATGAACATTCCTGCTAACACTAGTAGAAAAATTGAAATAGGCACCCCCCCTTTAGCACCGGTTCGTGAAAACCGGTGCCAAAAGAAATGTGCGGGATTGAAAAATTCAGCGTTAGCACCGGTTCCCACCAAACCGGTGCCAAATCATATAATTAGCACCGGTTCAAACCGGTGCCAATTTAAAAAAAAAAAAAAAGTATGGAATATAGTTGGCACCGGTTCGCCTTAAGCCGATGCCAACTATGGTATTTAGCACCGGTTTAAACCGGTGCCCATTTTGAAAAAAAAAAACCGGGCGAAATAAAAAATATATTCAGGTATTCATTTCTCTGCTTCTTCTTCTTTCTTTCTTTCTTTCTTTCCCCCCTGCATTTCATTTTCGTTAACCCTAACTCTCGTTTAATTTCGCCCTTCTCTTAGCTTCGACCACCTTTCTCCATATTTCTCCTCCGTTACGCGTGCTCGTAAGTCTCCATTGAAGCGCATTCTGAGCTTTGTCCATATCACTCCTCCACTACGCGTACTTTTAATTCTCCATTGAAGCGGATTCGAGCTTTCTCACCTTCATTGAAGCAGCTTCGAGGTAAAAATTTGTTTTTGTCCTTTTTAGATTATCGATTTCAGTTTTCGCAATCTAGGGTTTGTCGTTTATTTGATTTTCGAATTTAGGGTTAGTTCTTGTAAACTAGGGTTAGTTTACTACTGTAACCCTCTTAATTTCGATTAGGGTTCTCTGGGTTTGGGTTTCACTTTGGGGTTTTTCTGGATTTGACTTTCTTTTAGGTAGTCAATGGGGAGGTACTTTCGTGGGGGGTTTACGGGTTTCGTGGGTGGTCAGGGTGACATTATGCACCATCTTCCTATTTGCTCAGGTGAGGGGTCAATTAAATTAACCGCATATTTTGTTTTGCTCTTTTCTCTTCGCTTGGGTTTGCTCACGCTACTAAAGATGTGCTTAAGGTGTTAAACTTTTATTAAATTAACCACATATTATTTTTTGAATTGTTAAGTTGTTTGATTTTGCTTATTTTGATTCGCTCCAATGTATATAGAATATGGTTTTTGATGCGGATTAAAAAAAAAAATTGTTTGCTAAAAGAGGTTTGTTGTCTTGATTTTATTTTTTTGTTTGTTTAGTATTTTTGGTAGTAATGGTAATTTTTTAGTCAACGTTGATTATAAGAGGTTACTGCTGAGGAGCTGAGGGGAAACACAGGATCAGTGTTGGTTGTCGTGTATTTCGGGGTTTTTCTTAATGCTATTAACTACAAATTCCATCTGAAATTGTATGGGATTTTACGTCAATATATTTCTTCTAATGCTACCTGGTTCAATGTACCACAACAATATTTGCTATCTGCTTATTACAACCAGTAGAGGGCTGAATCAGGATCAGTGTTGGTTGTCTTTCATACATTTTTGCTGTATGTCATTTTCAGATGTAGAATTGAAGAGTGAGTAGAATTTAACGGCTATAAGGCTGGTATTTAAATTGAAGTGTGAGTAGAATTGGGTCAAATTCGAATCTAGGAATTGATGAATTGGGTTTGATTTGATCAGTTTTTGAACTTGAAGGTTGAGATTTGATGTTTGGTTGTTTGGTTGAAAACTTGAGCTATTTACTTAACAGTAGTTAAGTTAAGTTGAGTTGCTCCTATTTTCTAAATCGCAACCTTCATGTTGAGTAGTTTATTAGTTCAAACAGAGAACAGTTGGGTTATCCAACCAAATTAGAGAACCTTCAAGTAGAGATATATTGGCTTCACAAATTCATGGGTTGACTAAACTTTTGGAAGATAATATCACCTTGCCCTTAATGCTCAGCATCACTCTTATAACGCTGTAGCTCTCTGTTTGTTTAGTTCCCTGTATCAGATACTTGTGAGTTGTGACTGGCAATCCCTTAACTTCTGGCAGCATTTCTAGCTAGACATGTCAGGTGAACTAAGTAACATTGTCTTGGTTGCTTGCCCTAGTTTATATGTGTGCCTATTTAAAGCAGTAAGATAGGTTTTATGGCTTAGTATGTATGTTTGCTGGAGTGCCTTCTATTATATGACCTATCAGTTGATTTGGTGAAGTTTACATTCTATTTGATAGCTCAATGGTGTTACGGAGTAATTGGTTTAACTAGAATGCTAGAAGCAAGCAATACGAAGTATGAATGACCTTTTTGTTCTTATTATTTTCTTTCTTCCCCATTGGTCCTAGATTAAGTTTTTGCTTGTGTGGTAATCTATTTGGTTGACTATCTGTGTGTCTGGTTTTACTTAAAAAATAGAAAAATAGCTCACAGTTCTTATAAATTTGAGAAATGGGCATAGAGGCCACGTGTGTTAAGAGAAAGCTTAGGAATATGGTTGAGCAGATTAGGAAAGGAAGTGATGACAAAAATCTGTCTATATGAAATTCTTACTTTTCTTTTTCTTCCAAAACAGGAAATATTGGTTTAAACGTGAAAAAAAATTGTGAATATCCTAAATTACTCTTTGTTTTCTTTGAAAGTCTATAGCAGTTCATCATTAGTTAACCAAACTAAGGAGCCATTTCCAGTCTAACCGGTTAAAACAAACTATATTTCCTAACATTTTTTTTAATCATTTTACTTTGGAAGAAATAACAAGATTATGTGTTTTGTTTAATCCAGTGTTCGTCTCATATCCATTAAATTTGTTTTGGAAAATAGTTTGGGAATTCGGTTTAATGGAAGGCTGTTATTTGGGAAATGATTTGCAGTTCAACAGATCATGTAATCACTCTGTTCTTCCTGATTGCTTGCAACCTTAATATCTATGTTACATTTTGTTTCTAGTGTAGCTGCTGTATCATTTAATCTGATTTTATAAAGCTGTTGTGAGTGCCCAGTTTAGTGTCAAGGTCACTGTTTTTTATCTAATCTATACTAATTTCATGTTCTTTGTCCAAGAAGCATTGAAGAATTTCTCAGACGAAAGAGCCAAAAAAATGAAAGCCTTACAAGAAAAAACGAAGCTTGATGACAAAGAAGCTAAACGAATTTAGTCCTGTAAGTACACTTGGTTTCAATGAATGATGCTACGATTGCTACACTATTTCTCCTGTCATATATGTTTGTAAACATTGTAATGGTTGCTTTTAGGTTGATGCCTTTCCTGGGGATATAGTGATTTTTGCACGGGTGCTAAATCTTTTGAGAGGCTAGGGCGTTAATGCTTTATAGATAATCTTTTTTTTAATTCACCTTCATTAAACAATGTCTTGACTTTTGAGGTTAATATACATGGCTTTATATTAGTTAAACGTCTGACTTTGAAATAGGTCTTTCTGCTATAATGGAAGTCCGCATAGTCTACTTTGATATCATGAGACCAGCAGTAGCAGTGCATAACCAAGACAACAGTACCAGTGCAGGCAGCAGACACACAGCAGCCAGAAACCTTGGACACTTCAAATTTTTTTTTAGACGAAAATTGTATTATTTTAGCCTTTTTTAATGAAATAATGTAACTTTATATATATGTTAATGTTTCTGTAACAATTTAAGTGAAAAAAATGCAAAAAAAATATTTTTTTATTTTTATTTTTATGGGGTATTTTTGGCACCAGTTTGGACCAGAACCGGTGCCAAAAGTTTTATAAATTTTTTTTTAGACTATAGGCACCGGTTCAAAGCAAGAACCGGTGCCTAAAGTGGGGTTTTTCGCACCGGCTCTAACTCAGAACCGGTGCCAATAGTATTGAAAATAAAATAAAAAATTTGGCGCCATGGTAGTTGGCACCGGTTAACCGGTGCTAAATGCATGTAGTAGGCACCGGTTAACCGGTGCTATGTGCTTTAGTTTTCATGGATTTGGCATCCCTCAAATCCCCAACGATTCAAAACCGGTGCCAGAGGGGGGGTTTGAACCGGTGCCTTTTTACAATTTTCGTCTAGTGTAAGAAGACCACCCTTGACTTGGGGGCCATATACAACAGGGAGATAAGGAAGGACTGCACTCTTACATCAAGAGGTTCAATCTGATGATAATTCGGATACAGGGACTACCTGATGAAGTAGCTTACACAGACTTTTTCAAAGGTCTGAAGGACGGGTTGAACTTCAAATTCAATCTTGTCAAAAAAAGGGTGACCACCCTCCAAGAAGCAATGATGGAGGCGGACGCCTACATTCAGGCGACCAACCATTGTAATGTTGGAAAACAGTCGGACCACAAAAAGTCCGACAAAAGAGAAAGTCGGCCAAAGCAGTCGGCAAATAAAGAAGAGAAAAAGAGAAAAGAAGTCTGCCAAGCGGGAAATCAAAGGGTACCCAACACCCCAAACAGAAATAGGCGGGCCGAAAAAGGGCGACACCTGCTGAAAGCTACGACACTAACGAAGCGCTAGTCTATACTATAGCAGGCGGCTTCGCAAGAGGAGGCCCTACTATCCGGGCCAACAAAGACAACATCAGACATCTAGATGTTAAATCCGTCGACCAGGGACGGACCTCCAAAAGTTCATTTCCAAAAGTTGTTATCACTGAAGAAGAATTAGGGGGAATCAGGGGGCCGCATGACGACACCATTGTAATTGAATGCTAGGTGGCTAATCAAAGAGTTGACCGGATTCTCATAGATACTTGGAGCTCATCTTATCTCATCAGCAACAAGTGCTTGGCAAAGCTCAAGTATAAGCCCGACAGTATACACCCGGTCTCCCATCCCTTAGTGGGATTTGGAGGAGGGGTCGTACACCCAGTTGGACGGGTGGATCTGCCTATCCGCCCGGGTGAGAAAAGGGAGGGCCGTCACATGATGGTTCGATTCTAAGTGGTAGAAGAATTGTCGGCCTACAACATGATCTTAGGGTGACCCACCCTGAATAATTCAATAGTTGTTATCATTCCATCTCTCATGCTTCTCAAGTTTGAGAAAGATGATGGAATAGTCGGCTCCCTTAGGGGAGACCAGAAGATGGCAAGGGAATGTTATCTCTCTGACATTAAACCCACTGTTGCGGCAGCCGACCCTAGTGGGGAGACTGCAGACCTTGAGCAAATCAAGGGAGCCATGCCTACCCCAACAGCAGCCGACAAGAAGAGAAAGGCCACCCACTTGGAGGCTGAAAGAACAGAAATACAATAGCAATCATTGGCCGAGGAGTGGTCAGATGACTTTCGCCCTCAGTCGGCTGGTGAACATGTAGACCTCGTCTTGGACGACTCTCGCCCTGAGAGAACTGTTAAGGTCGGGACGACTGCTTTTGCTGAACTTGGTGCTTAACTACACCGACTGAGGGAATTCAAAGATGTATTTGCATTTAAAGTTCATGAGATGCCAGGCATAAGCCCAGATCTGGCCGTACATAAGCGTGCTGTGGATCCCAAAAAGAAGCCAGTCAGGCAAAAAAAGAGGAACCATGGTGAAGAATGAAGCTAGGCGGCAGCCGCCGAGGTTAAGAAATTCCTGGACGCAGGATTCATTCGAAAGTGTTACTTTCCGGACTGGGTAGCGAATGTAGTACTTGTCAAAAAGTCGAATGGGACCTGGCGCATGTGTGTAGATTACACAGACTTGAACAAGGCATGTCCCAAGGACAGTTACCCGCTCCCAAAGATCGACCACCTGGTCGACTCTACAGCCGATCATGCCTTGATGAGCTTCATGGATGCCTACGTAGGCTTCCATCAAATACCCTTGTTGAAGAAAGATCAAGAAAAGACGGCCTTCGTCACAAATCAGGGGTTGTTTTGCTATACTGTCATGTCGTTCGGACTAAAGAATGCGCCTGCAACCTTCTAAAGATTGATAAATACGGTCTTCTTCAACTAGATTGGAAGGAATATGGAGGCGTACATAGATGATATGATTGTTAAATCCAAACTCCAGACGGACTACCTAGCTGACCTCTGAGAAACTTTCACCACACTCAGGCGGTACTAGGTCATGCTCAATCCCAAGAAATGTGTTTTTGGTGTTGAGTCTGGGAAGTTCCTCGGATTTCTAATCAATCAAAGGGGGATAGAGGCTAACCTCGAGAAGGTACAGGCGGTCATAGACATGTAGTCGCCCCGCACTGTCCGAGAAGTTCAAAAGCTTACGGGTTGCCTGGCGGCATTGAGGAGATTCCTCAGCCGGTCGGGCGACAAGTGTCTCTACTTTTTCAAGCTATTAAGAAGAAGACCATGTTTGAATGGGGGCCGGATGCAGAGGCGGCCTTCCAGAAATTGAAACAACACTTGCACTCTTTGCCAAGGCTGGTCAGCCTTCTACCCAAGGAAGTACTATACATGTATTTAGCAGTTTCAGACCATGCTCTTAGTGTCGTCCTGCTTGCTGAAAGGGACGGCTGCTAGCTCCTGGTCTAATTCATCAGTCATGTTCTAAAGAACGCTAAGTTACGGTACCCTATGGTGGAGAAGTTTGGCCTTGCCCTCTTCATGGCAGTTAAAAAATCGAAGCCTTACTTTCTGGCACATCCTGTTGTGGTCTACACCGACCAGCCAACCAAGAGGCCTATGACAACCATGGAGTCGTCAGGTCGAATTACCAAATGGGCCATCGAGATCCAAAGTCTAGAGATCACCTTTGAGCCAAGGAAAGTAGTGAAGGGGCAATTATTTGCTGACTTCATAGTGGAATTAACCAGGCTGACTGATCCAAAGAACTTTGAGCTTGTCCGGAAAGTCTATGTGGACGGGAGCTCTACAATGAACGGTTGTGGTGCAGGCGTCATTTGTCGGTCTTCTGAAGGGGACAGGTATGAGTATGCACTACGGTTTATGTTTCAAGCCTCCAACAATGAGGCGGAATATGAAGCCCTATTGGCTGGCATCCGCATGTGTAAGGCAGCTGGGGCAAGGAAGATAGCCGCCTGTTCTAACTCACAACTTATCGTAAGCCAATACCATGGTGACTATGAAGCCACACATCCGGCCATGATCCAGTACCCGCAAGCGGTAAAGCAGGAGGCCGGGACACTTGAAGAGTTTCACCTAAATCAAGTGCCCAGGTTAGAGAATAACCAGGCAGACACCCTCTCTAAACTAGCATCATCAGCCTCTTGTGACACACCTAGGACGTTTTTCTGGGAAGTAATGGATAAAAGAAGCATCGAGGAAGACCCTATTGGGATCCTAGACATAAGCTCAACCTGGATGGATGACATCCGGGCATACTTGACAGACGGCACCCTGCCGGATACTCACTCAGAGGCGGTCCTACTGAAAAAACGGGCGTCTAACTTTGAAATGTGAAAGGAATGGTGTCCTTCCAACAAGTGTATTCTTCCGATAGAGGGTTCAGAATTATTACAAGGCAAATTCTTCAGTAAGGTCAAGTGATCGGAATGCCTAGGAGGAGGCCGCTTCCGATCAGTAATATCGAGGTACAATTGATATTACAGCTTAATCTTAACTGAACCCTTCGGGTCGAACCTAATCGAATCACCGATTCGAGGCGACGAATTAATCCGAAAGGATTTAATACATCAGCAGAGTTTTACGAATACAGACGTCGGAAATCGGGCCTTGGGCGTCGAGATCGAGCGTCGCAAAATCACAAGCAACAAGTATGAGCGTAGCCGTAGCTAGGCTAGGCTAGCTCATCGTATGCATAGGCGCACCATGTGTGTGCTAGGCACTATCGCAGCCTAGGCGTTCCATGGCAGCCCATCGCAAGCTAGCAGCATGCTAGCTTGGGTGACTGGGTGCATGTGGCAGGCCATCGCAGCACGCAAGCTCAAGGCCAGGAACCATCGCAATGCCAAGGGCTTGCGTATGTGTACATGAGTGCCTCGCAGCCTAGCCTCGCATCCTCGCACAACAGCAGCAATGATGCGTGTGGGCTGGTGCGTGTGTGTGTGCCTCGCACCAAGCATAGCAGTGCTAGGCACTGGCTGATGCGTGTGCGAGGGATGCATGATGCGCAGCGTGGATGGTGCGAAGGAAGGGGCCAGCATGCATGGCTCGCTAGCAGCACGCATGCTGGCTGTGCTAGCAATAGGATGCGAGAGAGATGCGTGTGCGTGCGATAGGCAGTGCTAGGCAGCCAGCAGCACCAGCGCCTAGCACTGGCCAGCACCATCGCCTAGCACTGGCCAGCACCATTGCCTAGCTTAGCCTAGCACCAGGTATGCGAGGCTGCTGGGCAGGCACATGCTAGCTGGCTGGGCTGGTCAGCACCATGCTAGCTGGCTGGGCTGGTCAGCACCATGCTAGCTGGCGTGCTAGCTGGCAGCAGCCCAGCACAACTCTTAGGTGAGGCGGTTTTGTGAGGGTGGGGACCAAGGCTTTGGGAAAGCCTTGGGGAGAAAAGCAATGGTCCCCCCCCCACCCCTCCATGGTCCTCACCTAACCTTCTCTCTACATTTGACACTTCTTGCATTTTGATTAGATGTATTTATTAATTTATTTTAGAAATAAATTAATTAGCAAATTATACATTCTCCCACATTGGTTGGGGAATGAAATGCAAGGGTTCATTTCCCTATAAATACCAAGCTTGGGTATTGGGAAATGAACAACCTTGAGTG